GCATATGAGGGATGAAATAAAAACTAAGCCATGAGGTGAATCCAACAACATGAAAATGAGGCAAAATGGAATTACAACCAGGGAGATACAAATTCTTGAACATGAGTTCGAATCTGAAAATTTTGCCTAAAGAGAGAAAAATTTTAGTTTTAGCCAAATTTCGGAGCACTGACAGTATGCAAAAAGAGGTGGAACAAGGCATATGAGGGATGGAATAAAAACTAGGCCATGAGATGAATCTAACAACACAAAAATAAGGTCAAATGGAGTTACAACAAGGGAGATACAAGTGCTTGAAGATGTGAGTTTGAATCTGAAAATTTTGCCCAAAGAGAAAAATCTTATTTTTAGCTAATTTTTGGAGCTCCGATAGTATGCAAAAAGAGGTGGAACAAGGCATATGAAGAATGGAATGAAAATTAGGCTATGAGATGAATCTAACAACACAAAAATAAGGTGAAATGGAGTTATGACAAGGAAGATATAAGTGCTTGAATATATAGGTTTGAATCTGAAAATTTTGTCCAAAGGGAGAAAAATCTTATTTTTGGTCAGGTTTTGGAGCTTTGATGGCATTGAAAAAGAGGTGAAAAAAGGCATATGAGGAATGGAATGAAAACTAGGCCATGAGGTGAATCCAACGACGTGAAAATGAGGCAAAACGGAGTTACGATGAGGGAGATATAAATTCTTGAACATGTGAGTTCAAATCTGAAAATTTTGTCTAAAGAGAAAAAAATCTGATTTTTAGCCAACTTTCGGAGCTCCAATGGCATGCAAAAAGAGATAGAACAAGGTGTATGAGGGATGAAATGAAAACTAAGCTGTGAGGTGAATCCACGTCGCAAAAATGAAGCGAAACGGAGCTATGACGAGAGAGATATAAGTACTTAAACATGTGGGTTTAAATATGAAATTATGTCTAAATTTTCGTTAGTTTAACACGACGGAGATAGACAAAAGGGCCAGATTGAAACACGGGTGGAAGGATGTGATTTAATTTGTTGAAATTGAAAATTTAGAGTTTAAAATGAAAAAGACGCAAAATCCTAAGATTTTTTGTATAATTAACCCTAAAAACTATTTAGCTAATATATATATATATATATATCGATGTTAGTAAAAAATGATCCATGTAATAGTGATATTATTTAATTTTTTATTATTATGATTTTGATATGTTGATGAAAATCAGTATTGTACTTTATTTATTAAAACGTACATATTATTTTATCCCAAAAAATTATAATCATGAATCCATCCATCCATCCAACCACCACCACCTTCTTCTCCACCTTTCCTTTTTTCCATCCAGAGTTTCCACATCCAGCACACCAACCGCCCTAGCTTGTTTATTTTATTTTATGATTTTGCTTGTAATTCTAGGAGGTTGATGGGTACTATACTCGTGTTGACTGATGGTGGTAAGGTACCGTGTATGATTATTGGTTCGTTCACATTACATTTGTCATTTGTGTAATCCATCCTGAACTTTAATTCGCGATGGTGAAAGATTCCACAGGAAAAAAAAAAAAATTTATAGGGCAATCCAAGTTGATGACGGGAGGAGAGAAAGGACACGGAAGGTGATCTAGTTCCATTTATTGGATGCGTACTCCTTAAAAAAGAAAAAAATTAATAATATTTTAAGACAAAAATGTTGACATCACATAATAACCTAACATATATGTAATTTAATTATTACTTTGGAAATAAAGAATTCTTAAAACCGTAACAAGATCTTTCACGACCGTCGATCACATGTCTGCAATATTTTTAAAAATTACGAATAACTTTTAAGAGTTTTACTCAAATGTGTTAAAATTAGGGATGACAATTTGAATTCGGCCCGACAGGTACCCGATCCCCTGTCCTCGATAAGAGTGGTTTTTTCTCAAAAAATATCTCCAACGGGCTGGAGATGGTATTTAAAATTAAATCTCCGATCAATTTCAGGCCGGGGACGGGGATAGCTTTCACAGCCTTGGACCCAGCCCGTCCCCAACCCTGTTTCTTCCCAAAATAAATTACCATAATACCCCTTCATTCATTCATGTATATAACCTCCCTTTTTTTAGTAGCCCTCTGATCTACAAAAGAAAAGTCACATAACTCAAAAAAGTGTCTCTCTCTCACTCACTCTCTCTCTGAGTCACATAATCCCTGATCAGACTCTCTCTCTCTTTCTCTTCTCTCCATAGTCGGCGATGGCGTCGTCGTCTCCTCCTCCTCCTCCGTCGCTTCCTCCTCATCCAGGCCACCACTGAAACTTCATACTCCGTCACCTCTCGCCTCCTCCTCCTTCTGCCACAACAGATCTGAGTAGATCGCCTCTCGTCGTCGTCTTTGTGTGTGTGTCTCTAAGTTGATCTGTTTGTATTTTTATTTATTTATTTATTTTTGTTGATGATGTTGCCGTTGATGATGTTGTTGATGATTTATTGTTGAGAGAGAAAGCTACACACAGAGAAAGAGAGAGAGCGTTACGGGGATTTTCTGGGGTCGGGAAACCCGATCTCCGTTAGGGGTAGAAGGCGGGGACGGGGGCGGGAAGAGTGATGGGTTCCTTGCCGGGGACGAGACGGAGAGTGTGATTCCCGGTCCCGGCCCGTTGCCATTTCTAATTAAAACGTACAATCATTGAAATAGATAAACCCACTTGAATTTAATCATGATTTAAGAATGATTTGGGAAGTGACTTTTTTTAATGATTTTTTGATATTTTAATTAAAATATAAGGTGAAAAAAATTAAAATGTTTAGAAATAACTTTTTGACTTTCTACGACAACAAAATATATATATAGAGAGAGAATGAAATAAGGAATCTTTAACTTTTTTATATGATTTTTAAACCTTTTTAGTGATTTTTTAAAAAACTTTTTGACTATTTTTTTCTTCCCAAACACACCCTTGAAATGCTCAAATGAAGACTTATTATGTGTCTAGTGAAATTGCAATATGATTTTATTTTTGGATAAATTATATTTACCTCCCTTGAAATTTGGAGAAAATATAATTCGTCTCACACTTTTGACATAATTATATTTAGGCCAAGTTTGGCATGAGGCAAAAAAGACAAAAAGTCAAAAAGTCACTATCCTATTTAAGTCACATCATCTTATTTAAGTCACATCACCTCTCTAACACATCACTTCAAACCCAACCCAAATCCAACCCATATTTCATAAAAAGTCAAAAAGTGCACTTATTTAGTCTTCCCAAACTAGGCCTAAGTGTGTTTGGTTTGAATTTTTTGGATTAAGTTTTTTAAAAGGGCAAATTACACAAATAGTCCCCATAATTTGGGACTCGTGTCACTTTAGTCCCCGACTTTTCAATTGTGACACATTTGACCCTAAATTTTGAACCTTGTTCCAAATAAGGACAATCGAAGATATCATTATTTAATTTCAAGGGCAAAATCATCAATTTAATAAACTATAAACTAATTTGACAAAAATAAATGTCAAAAAAATATTTTTAATTTTTTAAAAATTATTTTTATCCACCAATGATAAAATTATGTAAAATTGATAAAAATTACATGATTAATTTTTTAAAATTAATTTTACATGATCATAATCTAAACACATAATAAAAAATAATTTGGTAAAAAAAAAAATATCTAAAAGATTTATCAATTTTACATAATTTTATTTTTAGTGGGTAGAAATAATTTTTAAAAATTCAAAAATATTTGTTTGATATTTATTTTTGTCAAATTAGTTTATATTTTATCAAATTGATGATTTTACTTTTGAAAAATCTAATGATATCTTCAATTGTCCTTATTCGGAATAAGATTCAAAATTCAGGGTCAAAAGTGTCACAATTGAAAAGTCAGGGACTAAAGTGACACAAGCCTCAAAACTATAAGGATTATTAGTGTAATTCACCCTTTTTAAAAACTTAGTTTTTTTGTTTTCGTGTTTTTTTGTTTTTAATGAATATTTTTAAAATTTTAAGCATTTTTTATTTTATTTTTTTAGATGCACCTTACTTAGATGTATCTAAAAAGTAAAAAATTTGTGAAAAAATATTTTAAAAAATTAATAAATACATAAAAATACAAAAAATGTACTGAATTCTTGTATTTTTTTTGTATTTTTGGTATTTAGTGAATTTTTTTTTTTTTTTTTTTTTTTTTGTATTTTTAGTATTTCGTGAATTTTTAAAAGTTTTTTTTCACAAAAACTATACTTTTATGTGTATTTATATTAGGTGTGTCTAAAAATTAAAAAAAAATTGCTTAAAATATTAAAAAAAATTCACTAAAAACAAAAAAATACAGAAAACAAGAAAGTAGAATTTTCTGAAAAGAGTTTTTGAAAAATTATAACCAAGTTACATAACAATTAGGCTTTTTTATTTATTTATCAATAATTCATTAGTTATATGAATAAAAATAGATAAAGATCACACTTTTTTTGTATGATCTATGTTATATTTGAAAGTGTGATTAATAATATTTAAATCACATCTTTTAAGTGTGATTAATAACATTTAGATCACAACATTTAAGTGTGATTAAAAACTAATAAAACATGTGACTAATAACATTTAGATCATATTGATTAATAACTAACAAAACCTGTGATAATAAACATTTAGATCACATCTTTTAAGTGTGATTAATTATTAACAAAACCTACAATAATAAACATTTAGATCACATATTTTAAGTGTGACTAATACCTAATAAAACCTGTGATTAATAATGAGATAAGATCACACGTTATATGCATTTCTTATCACAGTTAATGCGTGTAATAAAAAAAAAGGTTCAATAAATTTGAAGAATAATCAATATTATTTTTGTACGTGCATTTCAATAATGTAATACACACTATATACTATACTTTAAATCACAACCACATATTGAATGGAATAATGTCATATATTTTATGAATGAAAGTTAAATATGTTCAAAAATATATACAAAGGAATTAAATAAAAAGTGTTAAACTGTGCTAACATATATTAAAAAATGAAAAAACTAGAAAAACTAAATTCTTGAATTTTTTGACCATATTTTGCATCTCCTTAAGAAATTTCTAACCTGAAAATGAAAACACAAATTAATTCAGAAACTGCTCGAAGCATATGAATAAACTAACTATTTGTAAAGATTGTTTGTCTTACAAAAGATGAAGTCCGACTGATCACACCCCTTCAAATCTTTTAACATTAAATACCTCTGGCATGACATAAAGCATGTAAAAACAAAATGTCACTTTACCCACATAAATTGCAAGTTCAACAAAAAATTTACTATAACCAACAACTTAGTTTAAGAGGCTTTATCCATCTCAAATATTTAATGTTTTACAAAAGAAATGCAATTGAATGTTGATTATACAAATACCTTGAGTGCATTTCAGATATCTGCGGCCATTCTTGATCATCTTCTCCATTTGAGCTCCTAGAAACTTCTGAACGCTTGGGAGGTTGGCCAGAGTTACCTTAGAAAGAAAAAAAAACAACTCAACTCCTTAGGCATACACATACCGGTAATTGCACATTTGTAAAAAATGTTCTAGATACCATCATATACAAAATCACATAGAGATATAGTCCTAAAGTATAATTTTTTTTTTGGGGGGGGGGGGTGTTTCAAAATTCTCATATTGACAATCTTATATATCATAGAGAGTACTGCCTAACTGTTTATTTATGATAAACAAAATCTTCAAGAAAAATTTAAAGGATATACTTTCATAACTTTTTTGCTCAAAGCAAAAGGAGAGGACACAAACATCATTATATTACTTGATACAAAGAATTTCAAAGAAAGTAATGCCTAACACTCAGGTTTCAGAATGGCCTACAAAAAATTACATGCCATACCATCTGTGGCTTGAGCAATGGATGGATTCTTCTCAAGTAATGCCTGTCAAAATAAGCACAACATGTAGACAAAGAAACAGAGATTGATAGGTACAGCAAATTTTAATAACGTTTCAAAAGCATCAACTACTCATCTCATTTGTTAACTGATCCAAAATAGCTTCTCGAAGCTCCACCTGGAAAATAAGTATAATATATGTGCAGTTTTTAGGAGTTGGGATACATGAGACATACATAATACATAGAATGTATGACAAACTTTAACTAGCATTCATCACTTTATATAGCACAGGCTAAAGTGGTACAGTTGCAACATTTGAAATATTATTTAAAACGTAGAAAGACGGCTCAATGTCAAAGAAATTAAATGCTGTTAATAGAAAATTTTAAATTAGGATGAAGTTGAATTCCTAGAGCAGTACAAGTTTTTCTTCTATAGTTGGAAAAGTTCAAAGCTGTGCTTTGCTTATGGTTTATTTACGCAAACAAACATATCGGGTCAATAAACTAATGTAAATATAAAACAAATAAAAATAAAATGGAGAAAGAATGATGCATTTTGATGTGCCACAAAGAAAGGCAACCATAAAAATCCATTACCTTGAATGGTCCAATGAATAATTTGGGAGGGAAAAAAACCCAAATTGCAACAAAAGCAAGAATAGTTAACAGAAAATCTAAAATTCATCCAATACCATAACTTTAAGGAAATAATCCCATGGACTGTTGCGGTTATAACCATACTCTTACAAAATATGCAGAAAACATTCTCATAATACTATTTTGATTTAGAGGAAAGACAAGGGTAACAAATTGACAATCTGTCTACACAGCATAATAGACCAGATATAGTTTATTTGCTTAGTACCATAAGGCTTTGAATCTAATTTGTCATGAATGGTTAATTTTAGGTGTCACAGAAAACTACAAAATTATTCAACAAGAAAGAAAGCAAATGAGTAAGAAGACTGAAAGTGAGCTGGACACATTATTTCATTCTCATGTACACTTTTCAAAAGCGAAGGAAACATATGCTTTCAGAAAAGATGATATAAAAAAGGAATAAATCACACCCCAATGAAACAACAATCACGGTCAACAATTTATATCTAGTTTAAAAATCTCGTTTAGCCATATGCAGAGGAATATCTTTTCATAAAATTGATACCATCAGGAGACACTAAATTATATGCTAGCAAGAGAAAATGCACAATCATACATGTAAAAAACACAAACAAATAAAAATTGAAGGCATATGAAGTTCTCAGTTTAAATTCAGAGAGCAGAAGGAAACTTGAGATAAAAAGGAAGTAGTCTACTTATATTCCAAATTTCATCAGAGAGAGAGGAAGAGACTTGAATTAAGTCCATGCCTTGCTATTAATTTTTCTCCTAAAACACACCTGTTGGAGTGACTACTTGCTTCTCAGTAAAAGGCAACTCGCCAAGTCCATGCTCTACAACCTGAAAATCAAAAACAACAAAAGCAATGATGATTGGTAAGATTTAACATTTTTATTCTATTAACCTTTTGTAAATCAATGAAATTTGGATAAGCTAATTGGTTGAAAGTACCAGACAAATAAGCCGATCCGAATAAAATACAAAATCATGCTTTGATGTATAACGATCTTGAATTAGCGTATGCATACCTCTTATCTGCAGCATGGGTCTCCAGTATGATCATAACTACAACTCAAGATAAATATTCGCATTTGAATCACAGGGAATGAAAAAAATGTTAACAATATTCCCATTCCTTTATGTCAATGTGAATGGCCTATATGCAACAGCACCCTAATGTTAACTCACTGGTTTGTTGTTGTTATTGTTCACTATTCCCAAAAAATTATTTATACAATTTGCCACCATCCCAGAAGCAGAAACCACATCTTAATTGTAAAGCAGCGGCTCACAGTTAAAAAGCTGTAGCTCAACCTTACTTGAGGTCAGTTTTTGTATCTACTCAAGATTTAATTTTTTTGTATCCCCCCTCCTCTCAGAAGTTTGTCAAGATCACTGATCAATAAGATTTTGGGTGATTACCCATAAAAAAGATGCCCCCCCCCCCCCCACCCAAAAAAAAGGTTAAGACCACCATGGGCAATGAAAATAATAATAATAATACAAAAAAAAAAAAAAAGGTTAAGACCACCATGGGAAATGAAAATAATAATAATAAAAAATCAAGATGATACAAAAAGGAGTACCTGGAATGTCGATTGAATAACATAAACATTTGAATATATTTTGCAAAGGTTATGCTAACCAAGTTTTGTGCGGATATGTTGGACAATTAAAACAACAAAGAAAGCAAAAAAGAAGAGACCAAGAACCAACAAAACCATAAACCGGCTGCAAACAGAAGCTACCAGCATGGCAACAGAAAAAAGAAGAAAAAACAGTACAACAGGCCAACAGGCCGGCAGCACACAGCAGCACCAGCACACAGCAAAATACAGCAGGCCAGCAGAACAAACAGCACAGCAAAATTGCATTAGTAAGGCAGCACAACATGAAGCTATGTTTATATGCATGATCATATAGAATGTTAGAATTACAGTTTGCAAGGAGGCAGGGTGTCTATGGCCATCAAAAGGAAGCTATCTGCAATGAACATGCGCAGAGTTAATACACAAAAAAATAAAAGCAGGGCAATTGGTCATCCTAAAAGAGTGAAGCTGACCTAATCCTCGGTTAGAGAAGATAACAAGGCAAAGGCATAACTGAGCCAATTAACTTTCTTCTTTTACCTCATAATAACATTGTCTATGTGTTTCAGTGACAACGGCTGCTTAGGTTAGCCACTGGATAAGAGCATTACTAGCTGACACATTGACTTGATCTCTGCTTGTTCCAGCTCACTTTTTTTGATCGGCAAAAAGAATACTTTATTGATGGAAAAACAAAGATTACATCAATAAAGGGGAGCTTGGAGCTAAAAACAAGCTCCAACCTCCAAGTTGGTGAGGAACCAACGAGCCAACAAAACAAAGGAAAAGAAAACAAGGAAAACCAAAACAGAACAGATAGCCCACATTTGAAGCACCAATAACACCAAAACCAGAGCAGACAACACAGCCCACAGTTGAAGCACCAATCAGATGAGGACCTGCAGTTAGTTAGCAACCAAGACAGAACAGATAGCCATGCTTTAAACCAACATTGCAGCAGGATAGATCAGAAACAGCAGCATTCCTACAAACTGATTAAGTACAGCAGCATCAGCAGTTCACCCACCAAGATTGTTAGCTCAACACATCTGCAGTTCACTACTACAGATGTCTGTGTTAGATATGATTTGGACATTAATTTGGATAAGCTTTCTTTGTTTTGTTTTTTATGGTTGTTTGTTTTTTTTTTTAATTCAAAATCTTGGATAAGTGAATGATATAATTAAAGGTCTGAAGGGAGCACAAACCATGTGTACAGAATTGGTACAACAGAAAGCCTGTATGAGTCATATGACCTATATACATCAACTAGAGAATCCAAACTCTCTAAAAAATACATTAATTGTCTAGTGAAGGATTTACTGTTCTTGTTGTCACCCAACTACACTGAAAACTCAAAAACTGGCCTTTCAATTGATGAATAGACTCGTCAATGTTATCAAAAGAATGTCAATTCATCTCCTGTGTACATTACATTAAGAAAAATACATGTCTTCTGATAAATCTCTTGTTTTCTGAAGGCTGCCTCTTGAGTGAGCATAACTATCTTGGGCTTTAGTATGGAAGTCTAGTACACAATTAGAAAAATTGAATAGCACCTTCAAAACTACACCTATAGCTACATAAGTTTATGAGCCTTTTCCATAGGAAAGTGAGTCAAAATGAAGATGCCTCTTGGGGCATGCTACAGTTTTGAAGAACTTTTTTTAAAACTTCTACGAACTTAAAATTATGCTTAGTGTTGTTGGCTCTTTTGGGGAATAATATTATTGAATTGGTTTCTTCTGGGTACCTACCTTGGTTTCCACTGAACCCCTAGAGGTATAGAAGAATGGTTTTGTATTCTCTTCTCCATCGATGAGACAAAGTTGAAAAAATAAATAAAATAAAAAAGAAGAAGAAGAAATTTTTTGTATTGGTAACCTATCTACAAGATAGTGCTTGTGTGTGTTGGCAGCTTTCATTTTTCCTTTCTCCATCTCGAATAAAATTTATTTTCTTTGTTGATTTTTTGTTTTTCCTCTCTCTTGTTATGTGATTTGCTATAGTTGTGTTGTGTAGTCAAATAATTTGATTTGTAAAAAAGATTATCCTGAGTAAACGTGGTGTCTATGTCAGTATTTTGAGATAACAAATACCCTTCATTGTTTTTCCTTGAGTTCAGTGAAGCCTGACAATTGGTTTGTAACAGAACTTACCGGAACAAGGTTGCCACTGCAAAGTAGGTACCATGGCCCATAGAGATAAGATTTTGTGAGCCTAATACTGCTACCAATCAAACTAAATCTCCTCCAAGGTTAGCCCTGGTTCTTTGTATCATTTTTTGACTTCTTTTTTCTAACGTCTTGGATATATAGGCTATTTTTAGGTGTACATGTATATGTCCACACATTTGCACCTCATTGGAACACAATTATTTTTGTTGCAGTTTGAGGTATTGGTTTAGAGCAAAAGGAAAACTTTCAGATGACAAGGCTTTGCATAGGTATGAAACTTGTTTCTAGTAGCTAGTCCTCATGAGCTATGTTTTCATGGAAGAAGTTGAGCAGAATGAACATTAGTGAATCATGATAGCAGCTTGTGTTTAATTTTAACTTTCAAATTATGGTTTCTGTGATATATATATATACCTTCATAGAACGATCTCTTTAGAATGGCCTTCCAGGAAGTGATGGTTCTTTCTACATATGTTGAGTATTTTATTTATTCCTACTATATATTGTGAATTATCTTAAAGATACACATCCTCATGGCTGAGGACACATAGTATGTCAAGTGGTTGTTGAATCAAGCTCAATGTTACCTTGACTCCACAAATTTTGGATTTAAAGTAAGTCTTTTTGAACTTTTGTGCAAATATTGGTCAATATGAATTTCTCTTAGAGGAGTTCTAGAGACATTTTCATGGATTATATTATAGGCCTTCAAGCACTAGCTCTAAACTATCATTATATTTGCCACATCAACAGGTGTTTAGCAAAACTTAGGGCTGGGAAAATTAAGGTTATAAGGGTAGAAATGGCAAAACATTATGTATCAAAACTAAAATCCAGAAAGATTTTCAAAACTGTGATGATCTAGATAAAAGTCCATTTATCTTGTTTGTTTCTATGTGATAATTATGTTATATCATTTGATTGACTGCAGATGTGTAGCGGCATATACTTTAGATCTAATATTTTTTTCTGTGAGTTTGAATCCTTACCGGAAGAAGAATTTAAAAACAACTTCTATCAGTCTAGATCATGCGTAAGTATACATGTCTTTTTTCTTTGTTATTAATTCTACTATTACAATTTTACACACATATTTACTTCCTGTGAAAATCATTTTAGCTAGTAGGAAAAATATCTTACGACTACCCACTTGGTTGCATTACTACAAACATTCCAGATTTGCAACCAACTAAAAGAGCAGCATCGAGATTGCAGCTTTGGCTATATATGTCTATTATTATTTACTTATTGGGTGAATTACACTAATAGTCTCTATAATTTGGAATTAGTGTCACTTTGATCATTGACTTTTCAATTGTGACGCATTTGACTCTCAATTTTGAATCTTATTCCAAATAAGGACAATTGAAGATATCATTGCTCAATTTCAAAGGCAAAGTCGTCAATTTGATAAATTATAAACTAATTTGACAAAAATAAATGTCAAAAAAATATTTTTGAATTTTTAAAAATAATTTCTACCCACCAAAGATAAAATTATATAAAATTGATAAATCTTTTAGACATTTATTTTTTATTTTACCAAATTAATTTTTATTATGAGTTTGGATGATGATCACGTAATGAGTGGTTGTTAAGCTTTTAATATATGATCGATATATTTAACATATGAAATGTTTTTAGTTTTGAATTTTTTGATTTAATGGATTAGTTTAATAATATATCAAAATTGTCGCCGTATTTGATTTTTGGAAAAATAGATATTAATTTAATGAAAAAAATTGATAAATCTTTTAGACATTTATTTTTTGTTTTACCAAATTAATTTTTATTATGAGTTTGGATGATGATCATGTAATGGGTGGTTGTTAAGTTTTTAATATATAATCGATATATTTAATGTATGAAATGTTTTTAGTTTTAAATTTTTTGATTTAATGGATTGGTTTAATAATGATATCAAAATTGTCGCCATATAGAAACTAATTTAATGAAAATAAAAATAACCACACATTACATGATCGTTATCTAAACACGTAATAAAAATTAATTAGGTAAAAAATAAATAAATTAATGGCGCTGTTTGGGAAGGAGATTTTCTGGGTCTTTTTTTTGTTTTTTTCACTAAAAGATAAATTAGTTACAAAACCAAAAAAAAACAAATCCAAACAAAATATCACATCAAACTCCATAATCATTTCACTTTTTCTCTCACAAATATCACATCCAACCACAAAAAAACCCAACTATCTTCCCAAACACAAAAAAAAATTTCTCCAATAATATCCTACAACTACAAAAAACCTACAAAAAAACTCACTTCCCAAACACCCACAATGTCTAAAAGATTTATCAATTTTACATAATTTTATCTTTAGTGGATAAAAATAATTTTTAAAACTTAAAAAATATTTTTTTGACGTTTATTCTTGTCAAATTAGTTTATATTTTATCAAATTGACGACTTTGCCTTTGAAATTGAGCAATGTTATCTTCAACTGTCTTTATTTAGAATAAGATTCAAAATTCATGGTCAAATGTGTCACCATTGAAAAGTCGGGGACCAAAATGACAGAAAGCCCTAACTATAAGGACCGTTAGTGTAACTCACCCTTAGTTATTTAGTCAAATATCATTGTAAAAAAACTAAAAACAAAAAACCACCATTATTAACTGTCGAGTGTTTTAATGGTTATGGAAATTGTGATGTCAAATATACATAAAACTCTATAGTGCAACTCATAAACTAATAATGGGGATTTTAGTTATTATTTAACTCAATAGTCTATGGTTGCTATCATGACTTGTAGAAACACTAACTTAAAACATTTGAAGTCTCCAATGTATTTTTTCCACCATGAGATCTATATATAGCTAAAACTTGAAATATGCTTCATATCAAGCACTATAATACATTGTCTACATAAAGAGATTGGCTGGAGAGAGAGAATGAAAACCTTAAAATTAGGAGCATTTCTTCTTATATTGATCACACTTCTTGTGACATATTTCTTCTTCAACTCTTTGATCTTGCTTCCATGTTCTCAACTCAAAGTTCTGTGGCTGCTATCAGAAGGTTGGCTGAAGACCAACATGGATCCAATTTGCTTGTGCCTAAGCTATTATGGGTTAATGTTGCCCCACCCAAAACCCAGTTTTTTGGCTGGTTCGCTTGGTAATGGAGGGTGAAAACAGCAGACTATTTGCAAAAAAAAAATGGTGCTCTAGTAATGTCTACCCTTTTTGTAAAAGTGAAGCTGAATCTAGCAACCATGTTCTGTTACAGTGCTCTAAAGTGTGGAAGATATGGTCTGAGCTACTAAATTGGTGGGTTTTCAGTGGGCAACTTGCAGCAGCAGCAGCAACTAAATGCAGCAACAGCAAAAGCACTAAATTGGTGGGGTTTCCAGGGCCTATGTTACGCGTTAAGATACATAAAATATCAATGTACAGTTCAATGCTCAACTACTTAGGCTCCATATATTAAGAAAAGGAAATCACCTACTAAATAGAATTTATCTAAATTATGGTAATGTTTGTCTCCCTCTCAATATATAAAGTATATTTTAAGGTCTTTGGGTGAAAGATCTGATTCCGTTTTCAGTCAAGTACATCCAGTTGCTAAGACAATTTTCTCCAACTCTGTTTTAAAAAAGAAGATTAGAATCTATCTTCAACAACCACAAAACACAGCATTATTTTAATTAACACAATCACAATAGAAAAATACCTCCTTATGCCAGCTCGTTGTTCTTCCTTTGGAAAGAGCAAACCGGATATAGATGCCACTTTATCAAAGAAATCAAATTCTCTTCGAAACATATCAGTAGCCTTGGGACTGAATCCATCAATTATTCGTTGCCTAACAACAGGCAATAGCTCTAGAAATGAACTATTCTGAAAATAACAAGGATACATCCAAGTGATTAAGCAAAGAGTCAAAGAAACTCGGATAGTGAAAATGTTTCCAATGATTACAGAAAATCACAATTTACTGTCACAAGATCATGCAAGTTATGCACACCAGTAGAACAAAACTCCAACAATAGATATATATAGCCAAGATCCATCCCCTAAAACATGCAGGTATATTGGCACACATGAGTTGCATTATACTATATTTGCAAGAAAGAAATGTCATGACCGTATTATTGCTGGTGGTATCTATGGTGGAGTTTTGAAAGACTTGAGAACAAGGTTAAAAACAAAAATGATGTTGCATTTTCAGGCAATAACTTTTTGCTTCCACTAGAAGCGTTCTTTTTGGCTTTCTTTTGTTGTCTTTTCTGCTACAAAACAACAAAGTGCATCTATTATGTTATCCAAAATGACACATACCGCACAAATATCATTCAGGGGTTGAAATCGATGGACTATAGAAGCAGAAAAACAAGTCTTTACCAATCAGCCCAAACAATCAACTTCATACGACTAAATAAAGAACAAAAGTGAATAATTTGACAGTACTAGTAGCTTCAAAATTTCCACTAATTGAATTGACATTAGAATATCTCCAATCCTTCATCAAGTTTAAATTTGATGAAAATTTTGGTGAAAATGAGATCCAATCCATTCATCAAGATCATGAAAGCTACAAATAATTTCTCCAAACAATTAATGTCCAATTTGTTAAGGCTCACGAAGAACCACCACAACTCCAATTACTTATTTATGTTCATTCAAAAAATTATACAGATTGGAAAATTTAACATACAGAAGGCCTCATATTTGTTTAGAATCATCTGGTTTCAAAAGCCTCAGCCATCTTGAAGCATGTGATACATACAATACAACTAACACGGTGCCTAACTTACAATTCAAATAAAACATAGATTATGTTGGCACTAGTAAAGGATTAATTTTACAGAATAACACCTTTATTTACATCTTCAAGTACACCCATTCATAAGTCCATGGTAAGTTATGCCCAAAATAAACAAAAAATGTGGGCCAATACCCAAAATTGAACCTAAAAATAAATTAATCAGCAAGATGTATAGATAATCAACTACTAACTACAGCTTGCCCAGTTGGCCAAAACACCAGCGCCGAAGTAGGAGGTCGAGGGTTTAATTCTAGGCAAGATTTCCTCTTCCCCCATGCTATGGCCTTCGATGTACCCAAAAGAAAAGAAGAAAAAAAGAATAATGAATAAATATTTTTTGGATAGACATACCTTCCCAGATCCTTCATCTTTCCCTGATTCCGGTACTGTCTCACCCTGTTTATGGCAGACAGATAGTCACTAGAAAAAAGACTGAGACCCCCTCGGGACTGTGACCCCCACGACCCCCTCTTCTTTTCATTGGTCAAAAATATATATATTTTTTTACTCCCCCACTCACCAACCCCCACGTGTGTGTGGGGTGGTGGGGGTGAGAAACTGAGGGGGCCTGTATCAGTCCTGTAGTCACTATTAAGCTAAAACATGTTCGACATTAGAAGCACATTATCTTAAAAATACATTTGCTTTCATCAATATAATAAGAAAGAGCAGCCATTTATTCAATTACATGACTAAAGCAAAAATTTCCAAACCTGTATATGCCATTTCTAGGGGTGTGCATAATACCGCCGAAACCGCCAAAACCGCACCGAACCGCACCGCCAAGGCAAATTCGTTATTATTTGTCAATCGAACTGCCGGTTTTTGGTAAGAAAAATGGCAAATTCTAGTGACACTTTTATCAATCCGCCACCCGCCATACGGTTTCTATTTTTCTCTCAAACCGCACCGACCCGCACCGCGCACACCCCTAGCCATATCAGAATATGAGCAAATGGATTTTTCTATGATACATGATGGTGGTTTTCATGTATCATACATAAATAATTTTGGACCATTAGATCTAAAAGTAAACTAAATCTAACCATTGATTGCTAATAATAAAATCAGGTTAAGAAATCTAGGTAGTTTCGTAAAAAATAAGGTAATTTTTAATGGTTTTGAAACCAAAAAGTGGTTTTTAACTTACCACAATAGCTAAGTATACTTACTATTTGATGTGATTATACTTACTATTATTAATAACTATACTTACCATTCAATTATTGATAAAATACAGTTAACCTACTATTCAGGTAACAGGTAAACTTAAAAAATTAAGTTATAATAAATTTTCAAAATCTTTAAAATAAATATAAAATTTATAAAATAGAATTTAAGAAAAAAATAAACAAAATAAATTTGAATTCTAAACATTTTATTATAATTTATTACATTTTATGAAATATGATTTTTTATTTATTTATCTACTTAATAGCAATAAATGAAACCTAATTTCCTTTTCATTTATCACACTTGAAAATAATAAATGCAATTAATAAAGAAATATAAGTAATAAAATATAGAAAAAATTATAATTTATTTGAGGGTTCCTTGAACAAAATTTTATGTTTATTTTTAAATTTTTTGAATATTTGAAGATTTAAAGATAAGATTGTTGTTGACTTGGAACTCCTTAGGTAAGAATCTATGTCGCTATCGTCTCTATCTCTTTTTTTACATTAACTTTCCATGATATTTTGAATTTATAAATTTTAATATTCTGTTGGAACAACATTTCACCTAGTTAAAAGAAAAATTATGAGATTTAAGTAGTAAAAAAAAAAAAATCAAGTTTGATGAAATAGTAAGTGCAATCTTAAGTTTAGTTTAAATAATTAATTAATCAAGTCTACTAAAATAGTAAGTAGAGTCCCATTGAGTAGTAAGTATTGTTTAAATGATGAGTCAAGTTTGATAAAGTAGTAAGTAGAGTCTAATTGAGTAGTAAGTGTTATTTAAGTGATGAGTCAAGTTTAATAAAGTAGTAAGTAGAGTCTCATTGAGTAGTAAGTGCTATTTAAATGAGTAGTAAGTCAAGTCTGATAAAATAATAAGTAGAGTCTCATTGAGTAGTAAATGTGGTTTAAATGAGTGGTAAGTAAGTCTGATAAAATAGTAAGTATGGTTTAAATGAATGTTTTTCAATTTATTACAACAACAAAACACATTTATTACTTGATATAGTTGTAATTATTCCACATAACTACACTTACCATTCAAACATTAATAAAATGCACCTAACCTCTAAAATAAATATAAAATTTATAAACTAGAATGTAAACAAAAAAAATATATATATACAAAATAAATATGAAATTTATAAATTTTATTATAATTTTTTACATTTTATGGAATATGATTTTTTATTTATTTATTTATGTACTTAATGGCAATGAATGGCAATAAATGAAACCTAGTATCTTTTTCATCTACCACAATAAATGCAATTAATGAGAAATATGATTAGCAAAATATAGAAAAATTTCAAATTCATTTGAGGATTCCATAAACAAAATTTGATGTTCATTTCTAACATTTTCGAAGATTTTAAGATAAAATTGTTGTTGATTTGGAACTCCTTAGGTAAGAATCTATATCTCTATAGTCTCTATCTCTTTTTTTACTTTAACTTTCCATGATATTTTGAATTTATAAATTTTAATATTCTGTTGGAACAACATTTCACCTAGTTAAAAGAAAAATTATGAGATTTAAGTAGTAAAAAAAAAAAAATCAAGTTTGATGAAATAGTAAATGTAGTCTTAAATTTAGTTTAAATGATTGATAAGTCAAGTCTAATAAAGCAGTAAGTAGAGTCTCATTGAGTAAGTATTGTTTAAATGAGTGATAAGTCAAGTTTGATAAAGTAGTAAGTAGAGTCTCATTGAATAGTAAATGTGATTCAAATGAGCGATAAGTCAAGTCTAATAAAGTAGTAAGTATGGTTTAAATGAGTGGTGAGTCAAGTCTGATGAAATAGTAAGTACAGTCTCATTGACTAGTAAGTGTGGTTTAAATGAGTTAAATCTCAAGTTTAATAAAGTAGTAAGTAGAGTCT